ACAGAGGAGACAGAGAAAATAAAGCAGATGTAGCAAAATTTCAATATTTGGGAATCTGGGTTAAGGGTGTTCAGAAATTATTTGTAAGATTTTGCAGCTTATTCTTTAAGTCTGATTGCAAGTTAAAATAAAGGTTTACTAAGAGATAGAAGGATATAAGCTCCGTGAAGACAGGGATTTTGATTGTTTTGTTCATTGATATTTCTCTGACATGTGGAATACTATTTGGCATATTCTACCTGCTCAACAACTCCTCATTGAGTAAATGAACATGAGTGCTTTAGTTTGGATTGTGAAAGTCCCCTACAGGGCCATGTGTTAAAGGCCTAGTCCCCAGGCATGGTGTTGTCACAGGTCAGTGAGGAGCTGGAACTCTCAACCTCTATTCTGTGTTCCAATGAAAGAAAATTTACAGTCAGACACCAAAGGCCTTCCAAGAGAACTTTATTATAAGTGAAAGTAAAGTAAGACTCAAGCAAAGAGCTTTCTAAAAAGAATAGCGGGTCATCTCTGAGCAGAGAACAACAAAGGAGACAGTGCTGTCTCTGCATTTATTACTGCCTGATGTTTGCCTTGAGAGCTGGGGCCCACCTTCTGTACTCATTGCCAGTCACTATTCAACTCCTGCTTCACCGGGTGGTGGAGTTTCTGACCCTAACTGGTTCTTGCTGTAACTGTCACGGTGGCCATCTATTCAGGAGGCTTCATCTACAAGTCAATCATATGTTACTGGGGTTACTGGCCAGAAGGTATCTTAGTGAGCCCATGTCACTAAAGAAACTTCCCTTCCAAGATATATGGAGGCACCTATGGCCGTAACTCCTAGGTGTACCCTGACCTCAGTGGACCCTGTCAAGGGTGAGACCTTTGAATCCTTCTTTCTTGAGGCATTTCCCCAATTAGTCCCACTCCCCCTATTAACTCCTTTTGTTTCTATTTGCTTACTCTCGGGGTCTGTGTACCCATGTTTTTCTACAGGTTATCTGCTACAAATCATTTATTCATCTGCCTTGGAAGGAGTTTAAAGAAGGCCCTAAAAGAGACTTAAAGAAAACCTGTGACCATGCCATGCATTCCACTGCTCACTACTAACTTCTACCTGCCAGGGTTATTGGGAGGTGGTGGAACCCTTGGGAACAGTCCTTAGGCTTTTGAGGGTGTGCCCTTGAAGGGAACTGTGGGACTGTAGCCTCTCTCTTTTGCTTCCTGCTGTGAGGTGCACAGTTTTGCTGCCAGACACTCCTGCCAAGTTGAGCTGCTTCACTACAGGCCCTAAAACAACAGGGCTAATCAGCCATGCGCTGGAACCTCCCAAATGGCAGACTAAAACAACCTTTTTCTCTTTATAAGTGAATTATCTCAGGAATTTCGTTACAGTAACAGGAAACTAATACAACTAATTTATGACTTACTATTCCATGTGCTGCATAGCCCTTATTGAATGAATGAACACAGACTTATGACTTGAGATTCTAGGTACTCCTTCATCTTTTTTTTTTTTTTAAGAGAGAGAGAGAGAGAGAGACAGAGAGAGAGAGAGAATTTTTTAAAATTTATTTTTTAGTTTGCGGTGGACACAACATCTTTATTTTATTTTTATGTGGTGCTGAGGATCAAACCCAGTGCCCCGCGCATGCCAGGTGAGCGCACTACCACTTGAGCCACATCCCCAGCCCGCTCCTTCATTTTTGTTGAATGAATGAACACTGACTCAGGGTTTACCAAAGAGGCAAATGTGTCAGCTCTGAGGGGATCTACCACACACACCCATTTTTACCAAAGTTTTCTGAAAAACTGTTACCACCCTGCAGATTTGTAGTGACATTGGTCTGATTCTGGA